GTAGATAAAATAAATTTATCACACTTTTTTACCAGTATTACCTTTAATTATACTGGTTCTTATTGCACTATCATTCACTTAGAACAATTGTAATCAGCAGCAGCCATGACAGTATATCCCAACTATCCAACTCACCTCCTCAGTGTACATCAAACTCTCATGCCCACTAACTATAATAGCTATTCATATGAGCACTGTGGAATTAAAAAAACAAAACAAAAATCATAATTCTCATAGAACTTATTTTTTTTTACAGAAAAACAAGGTATTAAATTTTGAGAGTAGCCTGAAATAACAGGAAAGTCAGAAATGTGATGAGAAACATTTAATAGTGAAAAGAAACCAATATAAAACATGGATTTTATTCAGACTGTTTCTTTAGTTAGATGTGAGAATTGGGGAAAATATTTAAATTTTGAAAACCCCAACTCTTTACCTGTAAAACAAAGGTTTTGAACTTGATTATCTCCAAAGTCTCTCTTAGCAATAAAATTCTAGGGTTCCAAGAGCAATTAGGCCAGAAAAAGAAATAAAAGAGATATCCAAGTTGGAAAGAAAGAAGTAAACTTATCTCTGTTTACAGATGATTTGATCTTATATGTAGAAAACCATAAGAATTCTGGAAAAAAAAACTTAAAAACTTATACATGAATTCAGCAAAGTACAGAAAATAAAATCAACACACAAAAATCACTTGTATTTCTACGTACTACCAATGAACAAATTGAAAGGGAAATTAAGAAAAAAATTCCATTTACAATAGCAACAAAAAGAATACAATATTTAGGAATTAGCTTAACCAAGCAGATGAAAGCATTTTACAATGAAAGATACAATGAAAGAAATTAAATAAGTCACAAATAAATAGAAACACATTCATATTCATGGATTGGAAGACTTAATATTGTTAAGATGTCAATACTACTTTAAAACAAGTGAAATAAGCCAGTCATAAAAAGACAAGTAATGATCCTGCTTATATGAGGTATCTAGAGTAGTAAAAATCACATATATAAAAAATAGAATGGTAATTGCCAGGGACTGGGGGTGGGATGGGAATGGGTTGTTGAATGTGTATAGATTTTCTGTTTTACCAGATGAAAGGAATTATGAAGCTGGAGGATGATGATTGTAGGCACAACATTATGAATGTATTTAATTAAAATGATTGAGGATGAAGTTTATGTTATATGTATTTTAACCATACTGGAAAAACTGGAAAAATAATTCTATGCTCCTATAAAAATAAAATGTTGTGAAAAAAACCCTAAAAATATATAAAATGAATAAGTAACAGAGATGGGTATATGTGTCTATGTCTTTAGCATTCATCCTTCCTATTTCTTTTCCCCCTGTCTTCCTGACTTCTAGGATTCACTGCTCAGTATGAGCCGATAGGGGCTCTCCAAGCTTGGTTTTCTTGCTAAAACCTGGTTCTTTCATTTAAAAAATAAAGAGAGAAGGGGGGGGGAATGAGAATATATATATATATATATATATATATATATATATAGAGAGAGAGAGAGAGAGAGAGAGAGAGAGAGAGAGAGAGAGAGACCAATACATATATACCTACACACACACACATAACTGGGGATTAAACTGAATGTAGAATCTACATTCCTAGTTCTTTTTAAAATTTTTCTGTTTTGATTTTGTGATAGGGCCTTGCTAAATTGCTGAGTTTGGCCTCAAATTTGTGATCCTGTCTCAGCCTCCTGAATCCCTAGGATTATAAGTGTGTACCACCATGCCTGTCTTCTTCATTCAAATAGTTTATGAAATCCTATATATTCTATTCTTGAAGAATACACAAACCACTAACTGCAGATCTAACCTACCTAAATCTGCTGCCTAAACTTAAAACCACATCTTTTTCTATCTCTATATAACTAAAATACTTTGCCCCAAATATGATATAAATTTACTCAAGTTAATAAAAGATGTTTTAGTTTATTATAAAATGTTTGTCAAGAAATTTGTCAGAAAAACAAAACATTGAGAGAAAACAAAACAGGAAACAAATTTCCATAAATAGATGCATTCATTAAAAAGTTTTAAAAATATTACATAATAGTCCAATGAAAAAGCAACATGAGTTACATGTAAATTTTTTATACTTCAGTACTAATGATTTTGATGCATTATTGTGACTAGAAGAGCCTCTGTTTCCAAATCTGCATATAGATGTAGAAAACATTATATACTTTTATATGAGTGGTTGTTTATAAAGTCATAAATTTGAAAATATTCAAAAGCATTGTGAGCAAAGAAAAGAGGAATGTTTTGGTAATTCAATGTTATATATATAGTGTGAAATAAAGAACATATTTTTAATCTAGCAAAAACATAGTAAAAACACAAAACTGATCCTCACTAAACTGATCATATGTTAAAAAATTATGATGAACATTTTGGATTACCTGGAAGTTATTACTGTAAAATATTTTTTTGGATGGAAACATTTAAACTGTACTATTTTCTCAAGATTCTGTTTAAAATGGTGCAGGCATCTAAAGGACCCAACATTGTATCTGTAAAGTGACTTCAACCTACTATAAATAAATTATGTTAACCTGATACAGAGCAAAGATTTAAAAGCCAAATTTATAATCTGCAAATTGCCATATTCAAATTGGTGGTAAGCACATGAGGTTTGAGAGATAAAAAATAATATTTTACTAACAGATAAGAATTTACAATATCCTTCAAACCTGGAGAAAGCATAATCAATCTGACATTGGGTCATAGCCAAAAGGTGGACATAATAAAGTCTGAAGCCTGTATCTTTCATTTCCAACAAACTTATATGATTTACTAACAAATTGTGCTTGGGATGCTATGTGCAGCCCCATAACACAGGAAGAGGGTGATACCTGCCACCTAAAGACACTTAAAACATCCAAAATGCATTTTCTTTTCTTTTTTTTTTTTTTGGAAGGGGGGTTCTAGGGATTGAATACAGGGTCTCACTCATGCTGGCAAAGAGTTCTACCACTAAACTCTATCCACAGCTCTTTTCATTTTTTTAAACAGTCTCCCTAAATTGTAATCCTCCTGCCTCAGCCTCTGAATTAGCTAGCATTAAAGGCATGAGCCACTATACCTGGCTGAAATAAATTTCTAAGACAAACCTCTCCCAATACAAAGGCTGTCAGTGATTAACATTCTCTCTATATTTATTCCTAGCCCCTTCCTGATCCCTTAGGACCTTAAAAGCCATCTTTGCTCATGTTTATTTTGAGCCAATTTCAACCATACAAAAAGGGCAGTGGATAAGAAACACACAATCTCCTGTAGGTATATGCTCTGCTTATGTAGACCCTAAACACAAAGATCCTCTCACACATATCATCTCTCAAAGTATTCCAAGAAAAATATAAAGTATGCCTCTTTAGATAATTAGTATGAAAAAAGATAAAAACTTTTTCCAAGAGAGATAATATTAGTACAACTTTGTTTATTTCTTTACAATCTGAAATTTTCCTTGTCAGACTGCATTTCTATTAGACACATTTTTGCTCAGTTATTCTTATCTATTAATTCCTGAAAGTTACCAGCCAGGGTATCTATGTCAGGCAGTCTATAAAAGGGCAGCCAGTGATCCCTGTCTTAGGGATTCATGTACTTATGTAATCCCTTCCCTCTCCATTTTGGGTTGTACTTAATGGCTCACTCCTAACAAATCAAAATGTAAATAGTGACGGAATATCACTTCTGAGATTAGGTTATAAAAGACCACAACCTTCTGTTTTGGATGCTCTCTCTATTGTTTACTCTGGGGGAAGCCAGCTGCCACATTATGTGAGGCAGCCTTTTGAAGACATTCATGAAGTGGGGAACTTAGATTTGCCAAGATCCACATACATGCACTTGGAAGTGGAGTCTTCTTCACCTCAGAGGAGCCTTCAGATGAGATCATAACCCCTAATTACAGCTTGATGGAACCTCATAAAACAACCTGAGCCAGAGGCTCTCTGTTAAGCTGTGCCCTAATTCCTGAGGCACAGAAACTGAGATAATAGATGTTTGTTGTTTTAAGCTGGGGTAAATAAGGGTCATAGTTTGTTACTCAGCAATAGATAACAAAGTACCTCATCAAACAAATTGTCAGGTTAACTAGACAAAAATGAAATTTTATGAATCAACCTGAAAAATATAACAAAACCTGTTTATTCTTCATTCTGAAACCTGACATATTTGTAAGTCATTTTTATGGAGGGGTGATCTCTTATCTTAGAAATATAGTTACCACACTCCAAACATTAAAAGAGGAAGAAATGCTGAGATGGAAAACAAATTGGCTTCACAGGCAATAAAAGGTCAGGATTAATTAACCCAGGGAGAAACACCTAGAATCCTTAAAAATAAAAACTATAGTTGTAAAACAAGTAGACTCAATTATTAGACACACAGAACCTAAAATAAAACCAAAAAAGTCAAATGACAGAGAATTGAGATTCTTTTGTGTAATTTTGTCCAATTAATAATATTTATTATGCATCATGTGAGAGATTAGAGCCCAGTTACAACGAAACAAAAAAAGACGAATTAAAACCTTAACAAATCTTATACCAAAATTTGCTTGTTGTAACGTCAACTGCATTTGCATTCATAAAAGAACCAAAAAAATGTGGTAAGGCACCCAAATAACACCTAAAAGCAACACTTGGGCTTAAATAAAGTAACCCTTGCTGTTCTCGGTTTTATTTCGAAATGAGGCTGGGTCACCAACTGGGGTCCCAAGCTGACCTATACCCCAATGGCCTAGAAACAGAAGGAACGCCCATTCCCGCCTCATGGCACTGATTCTTCACTTTAATAAGCCACCACTGCTGTCACTCAAGATACATTACACTCTCATTGGTCGTAAACTCTTACAGATCGGCCAATTTCTGCCAACTGGCAAGCACTGGCTGTCTTTATTTCCGTGAAGAAAAGTGAGGGTAAACAGGCAAAAGAGATAAATAGATATAAAATATCTAGGCTGACGCTAGTACCTGAGCGACCTGCGATCTCCACCGCCGCCGCGACGAATCGGCCTCTGGGCGGGGGCTTTAAGCCAAAAAGAAAATGGCTCAGCCAGGAACTGATGCCCAGGCCATGGAGAAGTGTGTCCAAACTTTACTAGTTCACGCCGGTGAAGATGACGGCGGCGAGAGTATCAGAAACAGCCCTACACCCGTGTGAACTCGGAACACCTCAAGCTGCAGGAGCCAGAGCTGCCGACTGTCCCAGTTTTGACGTTTCCTATTGTTGCCGGAAGTGACGTTCGGGTTCTGACCCTTAAAGAAGAAGCACTTTAATTCCCGTTGTTTACGATTCGCTACAGATTCCTTGTTTCTCGCTTCTTAGTCCGAGCTATTCTGACCTTTTAAATTATACTGATTAATAATCTGCAACTTAGTATCGCCCTGGCCGTTGAGGAGGCCTTCTGCAGAGTCAAGTCACCTCAGAGTCTGGACGAACGGACCATGGAATCTGCAGCGAGGAATCCTAGAGCGCCAAAGAGCCCGCCGCTTTGAAGATCTTGCCGCGGTGCGCGGCGGGCTCGAACTCGTTCTTCCAACACAAACGGTCGGCGCGAGAAGCGCGCTGGGGCTCCAGCTCTGGCCTTGAGGGAGTACCTGCTGGAGACTAGTTCCGGTGATGGGCTCCGGTTACAGATGCCCTTTCTCCCCTTCTTGTCGTGCTGGGCTAGAGGTCTTCTTTGCTCGGGGGCTGCCGGGTGAGCCCCAGGGAGCCTGCGGGGCTGCGCACTAGTTTGGACCGAGTCGCCTCTGTCTGCTTTCCTCACCGAGACCCCGGGTGGAGGCGAAAGAGCAGGTCTGTCTCTTCACCCTTTTAACTTAAATTACGGAAGGGGAATCCCGAATGTGCCTTGCGTGTATACCCGCCTGGTGTATGCTTTTAATAGCGACGAGGTAGAAAATATCGTAGCTGCTTAATCAGATTTAAGCTGTGGCTTAGGATAGAGAAGTTACAGTCTTGGGATCAGTGTAAAGGATGGATTCCTAGTGGATACTCTGAGCTGAGGATGCATCGGGCTCCTCTAAAATACTGATGGGAAGGAAGAGTTGAAAGTAGTTGGCTTTTCCTTGCTTGCGTTTTCCAGGTGTTTAAAATATTTCTCCATCTTAAGAATTACAGATTTTTCTCTCACTATAAAAGGAACTGTCTTGAATTTTAATTCTTTTTTTTTTATATTCTGTAATTGGGGTGTCGTAGAATATTTTTCCAGAATTATTCGCAAACCTTTACACAGTTATTCCCTTTCCCCCCAGTTTCCTCAATGCTTTCCCTTCCTCAAACTTTTCTCCATATCACTTAGAACAGTGTTTCCTTAATATCTTTTGTGGAAATTTTCACAAATTTAATTTTTTCTCATCTTTATTCCTCTTGTTTTTGACGCATGGTTTTTAGATAATATAAATCGTTTGATCTATGCCACAAACTCTTTAACCATCCACACTAATGTATACAATTTAGTTGTTTGATTCTAACAAAAATCACTTTGAGTCCTGTGACATCCCATTGGGAGGCATCATTTTAATGATCTTAAACTGCTAGGTGATTGAGCTACATTAAAAATCTTAAATATTTTACTTAATAGTATATTTTACTTAATAGTATATGTTGTTTTATCCCATTCTCATCAATTCTCTCGGACAGATTTGACTTGTAGACAGAACTCTAGGGGAAGCTAGCCAGCAATATTGAGACCTTAATGACTGAATCTGTGCTACAAGCTGAGTATTGCCTCCTTTGAATTTTCTTTGACAAGGGTAATCAGGTGAAAATGTTAATCACATTTTTTAAAGTAAAAAATTAATTTTCGTTTCCAAAAGTACTCTGTTAAAATATGCATAAGTAATAGATTAGCTTCTTTTAATATCTTAATTTTAGTGTTTTCTCCCCCCCCCCTTTTTTTAGCAAAGCCCTTCATGGAAATGTACAGCAGGAGCTGTAAATTTTTTCTGTAATACTCAAATTTTTTAAATTTCTTCATTTTTACTATTCTGTCTTATCACTTATCTCCTTCACCTACAGATCCAAGCTGTACTTGTATCTTACTCTTCTTCAAAATATGTATTCTACTGGCACTGAAGAGGATGTGTTCCAGGGACATACTTTGTTGTCAGAAATTCCATTACCAGAGGTAGAAATAATGTAAGAGACATGGAAATGTGTTTCAGGACTTCAGAAAAAGGAAAGATACCACAAAATTGCATGTACTGGGATGATTAGATATACATTTGGAGGGACTAAACGAAATCTGTGGGAGAGATACCTTTTACATTAAAGTTAGAGAATGTCTTTCAGTAAGAAAGTACCTGAGAAGAATTTTACGAAGTTAGATAGGTCTGGAACTTGAAAGAGTTTCAGACATATGAAATTGTTCAGTGGCAGAATCCAAGAATTTTTTTTTTTTTTTTTGGCAGTTACAAACAAATTAGTTTCCATTTCATTTTTTTCTCAGCTAAATAAAGGCTGATCTTGGGAAAACTGTTTCCATATGTCCATCTACACCCATGCCTCCTATAAGATGTTAGCTAAAGCTTACCTTCTTGACCAGTATTTTGTATAATTTGATTTTGAAATTGGTTATTTCCCATTTGACTACGACCCAAATTCCCTTTGCCTACAAATGTAAATTTGTTTAGGTGGTAGAATTGAGTGGCTGAAAATAGTGACTGAAGTGATCATGGAAGAATGGTAAACATTTATTCAAGAACCTATTCTTCACCATGTTGCTAAAGGAGAACAGGCTAAAAATAGGACAGTAGTTTTCCTCAAGAGAGGGAATAGTTGCTCTACCCTGGAGAAATAGCTACAGAAATGGGTGGCAAGGGTCTTAACATAGAAAGCTTACTAAATTTAGGATTTTGCAAATTGGTAGCCTTAATACCTCTTTATGTATAGATTCAGACAAGGTGTGTAAGGGAATGATTTATATTCTGATTGCTACTGAAATACAGACTAGGGGGGAAAAGATCACACCAACTACTTCACCTAATTTATGAATTATTCTGTTTTGTTTTGTTTTTAATGTCAATGACTTCATTTTAAAGGAGCTTCATTCTCAGAAGATTCATTACTCAAGGTATTGTTATGTATTATTTTCCTTTTATGAAGTGTCAATGAATAGTTGTAGATATTTTTAAATATGTTTTTGAATTTTGCCTTATTGATTAAATTTGTGATTCAAAACCTGTTTATCTCCATCATGCAAAAGTTCTTAACAAATTGTCTATGTGTTTATTTTATGAACCTCCTTTGGAAACAACCTCCTTTGGGAATTTTGTAGTCCATTCAGTAAAATGAGTCATTTAGAAATAAGTTTCATGGTATTATTTTGGGAGAGGGGATTTTTTAAAAAATGATCTTTTATAAAAAATCTCAAAGATCATGCATGTTTGTATGTTTGGGTGTTTCTGTTATGTACATTTTTCAGAGTCACTTCTCTTTCATAGATCCCTATGTACATCAGCTTTAGAAGATATCAACAATAAATTTTACAAAGTAATTGTACTGATTTACTTTTTTCACCTAATTGTGTTAAGAGTTTCACATGCACTACTGACTCATATTTTGGATTTACTTCATAATTTCCTAAGGATTAATGAGATTGAGTATCTTTTTACATGTTAGGTCTTATAGTTTTTGCTGTGATCTCTTGCCCATTTTTCTATTGAGCATCTTTTTTTTTTCTCCCCTTATTGTTTTGTAGATTTTTTTTACATGTTCTACATAAGATTATTTTTGTTGGTTATATGTATTGCCAGCATCATCGTCCATTCAATGACCTTTCAGAGTATCTTTTGATGAACAGAAGTTACTAATTTTAATGTGGTTCATTTTATCAGTCATAAGACATCTTTCTCTTCCTGAGATCCTGAAGATATTCTCCTCTGTGATCTTCACAAAGCCTGGTTGTTTGGCCTTTGTATATTGTTCATTATAAGATTTTCTTTATTTCTTTCAAGTTTGGATTATATTAATTGTATTTTATTGAAGTTAGATCTTCAATAAACCCTTTGTGAAGGTTGTAATATAGATTTCAGGATTTATGTGGATATTTAGTTGATGTATTACCATTGGAAAAGACTATAGTTTTTTCACTGCTACTCACTATTGTCACTATTATCAATATATATGCTGGTTTTGGACTTGGTTTTGTGTCATTATTCTGTTTGTACATCTTTTCATGAATTCCAAATTTAATTTCATAAAACATTTTCATAATGAATGATTTAAGTCCTCCAATTTTGATCTTCAAGATTTCTTAGTTATCCTTTAGCTTTTACATTTCTGTATAAATTTTAGTCAGCTTGTCAATTTCCACCCTCAAAAACCTGTTTTTTGTGTGTGTGTGTTTGTTTAGTGGTAGTAGGAAAGCATTGTTTTAGTCAGATTTTTTGCTTTTGTGACTAAAGGATCTGACCAGAACAATTTTAGGAGGAAAAGTTTATTTGAGGGCTTAGGGTTTCAGAGGTCTTAGTCCATAGAAGGCTGGCTCCATTCCTTTGGGCTTCAGGTGAGGCTGAACATCATGGTAGAAGAGTGTGGCAAAGGGAGGCAACTCACATGGCAATCAGAAAGCAGAGAGAGCCTCCCCTTGTCAGGTAAAAACATATACCCCATAGCCAAGCCCCCAATGAATCACTTCTTCCAGCCACACCCCACCTGCCTCCAGTTACCACTCAGTTAATTCCATCAGGGATTAATTCACTGATTAGGTTAAGGCTATGGCCCAATCATTTCTCTTCCAAAGCTTATATTGTCTTGCATGTGAGCTTTTGGGGAACACCACATCTGAACATTAACAGGGATGCAATGAATTTATGTATCAATAATCTATTGAGTCAATCTTTGATCAAAATGTTGCCTCTTCTCTAGATCTTCTTCAATGCATGTCAATAAAGTTTTATAGTTTTGTTTTGAGATCCCTCCATCTTTTCCAGATTTATTCATGTTTGATATTTATTGAGGCTATAGAGAATTATTGATAGATGTCATTTAAAAACATTTTCTATTATTTGAGGGATACAGAGACATGCAATTGAGTTTTGTGTATTGGCCGAGTATTCAGCAAACTTGCTAAATTTACTTATTATTTCTTTTGGATTTTTTCACATGCAGTTTATTCAGTGTGATGTCAAACAATAATGACATTTTTATTTCTTACTTTTTAATATTTTTTCCTTCTTATATTTTTGTACTATCTAGGAGTTCCAGTTTAATGTTGAAAAAAAGTGATGACAGTAAATATGCTTGCCTCTACCCAATCTCGGAAGAAAACTTGGTATTTCATCATTGAATACAATGTTTGTAGTAGATCTCCCCCCACCTCACTCCACCTCTTTTTTTTTTTTTGTACTGGAGATTGAACTCAGTGGTGCTCTACCACTAAGCTACATCCTCAGACCTTTTTTATTTTTTGATACAGGATCTCACCAAGTTGCTAAGGGTCTTGCTAAAATTCTGAGACTTGCCAACCTCCTGCCTCAGCCACCCAGGTCACTAGGATTACAAACATGAATCACAGCACCCAGCTGCAGTAGATTTTTTTTTTTTTTTTTTTTTTTGGTAGATATCCTTAATCAAATGCAGGCAATTCCTCAATTACTAATGTTCTAAGAATTATAAATAAATGTTGGATATTTTCATATACCTATTGTTCATTATAAGATTTTCTTTAATGTTTGGGTTATATTGATTGTATTTTGTCTTGTACTTGGGTTATAATTCAATAGTTACGAATTTTGGTGCTCCAGTTGTTTCAGTTTGTAACCATTAGGAACTCTTTGTTGGCTCCTATGTCCCTTTGACATAACCCTTCAAAATTTTCTTTGTAGAGTGTTTTTTTTTTTTTTTTTAAGAGAGAGAGGGAGAGAGAGAGAGAGAATTTTTAACATTTATTTTTTTAGTTTTCGGCGGACACAACATCTTTGTTTGTATGTGGTGCTAAGGATCGAACCCGGGCCACACGCATGCCAGGCGAGCGTGCTACCACTTGAGCCACATCCCCAGCCCTGTAGAGTGTTTTTGTGTGTCCTGAAAACTACATAATGCTTCAGTTCATCTTCTATATTTCCTACCCCAGTCCTAGAATTGAACATTTCTTCAAGGAGCCCTGATTTCTTGTATTGTAGACATCAAGATCTAGATGCTAGTTTGCCAAAGGATTGCTATGCTTGTTGCTGAAGGATGTTACTTCAAGAAACTTTCACTTGACAGAGAAACAAAATATATGTGTATATATTGAGCACTACACAGGTTAAATATCTCTTATCCAAAATGTTTGAGGATCATAGTGTTTTAAATTTTGGAGTTTTTCAGATTTTGGAGTATTTGCATAGGGTATTGGTCAAGCATCTCTAATCAAAAAATCTGTGATTTGAAATGCTGAGAATCTGAAACTTTTTGCATATAGACATGATGATCTAAAAGCTTCAGGTTTGGGGAGTGTTTTGGATTTGGGGTTTTGGCTTAAGATTGTTCCAGGTGTGTGCACATACCAATAAATCTTTCTATTTGAAATGATTGGTATCAATATTACGGTAAACATGTTGATACTGATGTTTCTAACTATAATCAGTTAACACATAGAGCTAATTCTAGTGTACTCCACTTACCTGTAAAATTCCTCTTAAACCTGGTTCCCATTATGCAATCATCAATATACCTAATTTTAAACTTCAATATATCTCTTTAAGAGTATCAGAATTTTTATCTCATATGCATGTAGGCAAAAACTTTATGAACCAGAGTGCAGTGTTTATGTGTTGTTTTTGCCTTTAATCTCACAGACTCTATTCACTTTCACCCATCCCCTTTAATGCAGTTGTTTCATACATTGGTAATGTAATTCGATTACCCTTTCACAGTCTACACTCGATCCTGTGCAGTTTCCTAAATTATTTTTAAAATTTTTGCATCCATTAGCATTCACTCTTTGGACTGCAGAGTTTCATGGATCTTGATGAAGACATAATGTCATTTATCTATCTATAAGATATCACAATGAGTAGATTATCTCTCTAAATTAATACTCTATATTTCACCTATATATCTTACTCTTCTCCCTCTGAATCTCTGGCAACTATTGACCTTTGTGTTTTTTTATTGTCTCTGTAGTTTTACTATTTACAGAATGTCTTCTCTTTGAAATTGTCTAGTAGCCTTTTTGGACTTGCTTTTGCTTAGAAATATTAATTAAGATCTATCTGTGTCCTTTTGTAGCTTGAAAAGTCATTTCTTTTTATTGTTAAATAATATTCCATTGTGTGGATGTACATTACTGTAATATACCTCAGGTTGTCTTGGTTGCTTTCACTTTTGAGTGGTTATGAATAGAACTGTTGTACACACTGATTATGTAGGATTTTATTCATACATAAATTTTTGTTAAGTTAGTGGATAAATGAGTACTATAATTGCTGAATGTGTGGTAAGACTATGATTAGTTGTGTAAGAAACTGCCAAACCATCTCCCAAAATGGCTATACTACTTTGAATTCTCACTAGCAATAGAGTTTTGTTTCTTCATATCCTCAAATACATTTGGTTATTAATAGGCTTATTTTTGTTGTGTTTTGTTTTTGGATTCTAGCAATTCTAATAGGTGTGAAGTAGTATCTTGTTATGCTTTGGATATGACATGTCCTCCAAAAGTTCCTGGATTAATGCAGGAATAGTCAGAGTTGAAATGATTAGATTATAAGAGCTGTGACCAAATCAATCCATTCTAGTTTGAATGGACTAACAGAGTGGTAACTCTAGTGAGTGGAGGTCACTAGAGAAAGTAGGTCACTGGGGCGTGTCCTAGAGGGTTTGTCTTCCTTGTAACCCATTCCCCCTTCTCTTTCTGCCTCCTGGTTGCCATGAAGTGAATAGCTTTCCTCTGCCAGAACCTTTGACCATGATGTTCTGCCTCAACTTGGGAGCCCAGAGCAATGAGGTCTGTCAACTATGGACTGACATTTCTGAAATCCTGAGTCTCAAATAAATTTTTCCTCCTCTAAGTTGTTCTTCTCAAGTATTTTGGTCATAGCAGAGAAAAGCTGATTAACACATATCTCATTGTTTTATTTTTAAATTTGCAATTACCTGATGATATGTTGAGCATCTATTTAAATATTTTATAAAAATTTTTGAAATTTATTTATTGGTGCATGTGAATTATACAGAATAGTGAGTTTTCTTGTATTCTATTTGTACATGCATATAACACATAATCTGACCAGTATTACTCTCTAGTAATTTCCCTACCTTTGTCCCTTCCTCTAATGGTTTGTTTCTACTTTCATGACATTCTTTTTTTTTTTTTATTTCCCCTCTAGCTTTTATATACAAGAGAAAGTATATGATACTTGTCTTTCTGTGTCTGGTTTATTTTGCTTACATGATGTCCTCCAGTTCTCATTTTCCTGCAAATAAAATAATTAATTTCATTCTTTATTACTGAGTAAAACTCCATTTTGTGTGTGTGAGTGTGTATATACATACTTTATTTTCTTTATCCATTAATCTGTTGACAGACATCTAGGTCAGTTTCAATTTGGCTGTTGTGAATTGTGCTGCAATAAACATGAGTATGCAGGTATCCCTAAGCATACTGATTTTAATTCTTCTGGGCACAGGTATTACTGTTTCATATTGTTTTGCTTTTGTTTTTCTGAGCTTGGGGTTGAATCCAGACCCTCTTACATACAGGGCAAGTCCTGACTTAAATTATCTTGGATAAATACTGAGGAGCAGTATTGCTGAATCATATGATAGTTCTATTTTTAGTTTTTTGAGCAATCTCCATACTGATTTCCATAGTAGCTGTACTAATTTACATTCCAGACTATGTAAGAATTCCTTTTCCCCAGCTTCCTCACCAGCATTTATTGTTCACATTCTTGATGATTGTTGCCATTCTGACTGTGATGAGATAGAATCTCAGTATAGTTTTGATTTGCACTTCCCTGATGGCTAAACATGTTGAACATATTATAATATAATTGTTATATAATGGTTTTTATTTATTCCTTTGAGAAGTGTATGTTAGATCATTTGTCCATTTATTTAATTTTTTAAGTCTTTTTTAGTTCTTTATGTTTTTGGATATTAATCATCTTTCAGTAGAATAACTGGCAAAGATTTTCACCCATTGCAGGCTGTGTGTCTTTATGCTGATTTTTCCTTTGTTGTACAGAAGCTTTTTAATTTGATGCCATCCCATTTATTGATTCTTACTTTTATTTCCTGAGCTCTAGGAGTCTTATTTAGGAAGTTGTTTCCTGTACTTCCTATTGAATTATTTCTCTTGTTTTCTTTTCTAACAGTTATAAACCTTCTGGTGTTATACCATTTTGAGTTGACTCTTATGCAGGGCGAGAATATCTTACATGCTTGTATGCCACCTGTATTTCTCTTTGGTGAATTCTCTGTTCAGATCTTTTGCCCAGTTTTTAATTGAGTTGTTGGCTTTATGCTCTTCAATTTGAGTTCTTTGGATATTTTGGAAACAAGTCTTTACCCAATATGTGTTTTGTAACACCATAACCTCTTTTTGTTCTCTTAACAATATCTTCCATAGAACAGAAGTTTTAATTTTAATGAAACTTAGCTTACCATTTTTTGGTTTTATGGATTATAAATTGATATTATCTAGAAACTCATTGCTAAACTCAAGGTCATATCAGTTTTCTACTATATTTTCCTCTTAAAGTTTTATACTTTTACATTATACATTAAGATCCATGATCCTTCTAAACTAAATTTTGTAAAACATATAAGGTCTGTATAGAGATTCCTTTTGATTCTCTTCATATGTGATATATTTATTTTTCTTTGGATGTTTTTAGAGCTACTGCTTTTCTCTTATGAGATACATCGCATTGATATATCTTGGCATGAGTTTTATTTCACTTATGTTGATCACTCAGTGACTCTTTCAGTCTAGAAAATAATGACATTTAGGTCTAAGAGATGTTTTTGTATTATTTCACACCTTCTTCCCTCATTGTCTCTGATGACTTTCTGGAATTTCCATTCATTAGCTGTCAGACCTTTTGGTTTGATCCCCTGGTTTTCTTATACTTTTCCATGTTTGTATCTTTTCATCCTTTGTATAATATATTTATTTTTTCAAACTTATCTTCTAATTTTTATTGAAATTTTTATTTTTATTATTATTTTAAATTGTTTTTGATTTTTAATTAAATTTCATTATAGTGTAAAAGCAGACATTGTATGATTTCTATTCTTTTAAGTTTGCTACAGTGTTTTATGGTCTATTATGAGTCTACTTTAGTGAATGTTCCATGTGTTCTTATGAATGTGTATTCTGCAATTGTTGGGTGAAGTCGTTTTTAGATATCTGTTATATCCAGTTAATTGATGGTGTCATAAGTCCTTACTTATCTTCTGTCTGCTAGATCTGGACATTTATTATAGAAGGGTGTCAGAAGTCTCCAGTTAAAATAGTGAATTTATCTGTTTCTCCCCACAGTTCTCACATATTTTGATGTTCTTTTGTCAGGTGCATATATGTTAAGGATTATTATATTTTCTTGGAGTTTGATTTTATCATTATATAATGTCCCTCTTTATCACTGATACCTTTTCATATTGTAAAATATGCTATGTCTGAACTTAATATAGTTATTCACACTTTTTTGATGAGTCTTACCATGTTTTTTTTCTCTATCCATTTGCTTTTAATCTATGTGTGTCTCTTTTAAAATGGTCTTCTTACAGAAAGCATATAGTTGGATCTTGTTTTTTTTTTAATTCACTCTGACAGTCTCTGACTCATTTTTAAATTATGATAAACTTTTTCATTCTTTTTTAAGCCTTCTATTCAGTTTTTTAAAATATTTTTTAGTTGTAGTTGGACAAAATACATTTATTTTATTTATTCATTTTTATGTGGTGCTGAGGATCGAACCCAGTGCCCTTCATATGCTAAGAGAGCACTACACCATTGAGCCACAACCCCAATCCCCCCAATTCAGTTTTAATATTCTTTCTAACCTTATTGAGAATATGGATGGCCCCTAGCTTACAATGAAAGGTCCAATTTAAATTTTCAACTTTACAGTGTGTTTAATGAGAATAATAAATGCATTTTCTTTCTTTTCCTTTTTTTCTTTCTTTCTTTCATTTTCAGTACTGAGAATTGCACTGAAAATCAAAGTCCTACGACTGTAGACACACTAGGCAAGTACTCTATCACTAAGCTATATCCCATCCTGCATTTTTGACTTATCACTCTTTTCAACTTACAGTAGGTTTATTGGGATGTAACCCCACATCATAAGTCTGTGTTATACTTTTCATTTTTAAATTTTCTTTTATTTTCTGCATTAATTCTGTATCTACCACATTTAAAAATTTATTTCATATTGATCTCTGCCTACATCCTGAAGGCTTTCTTCTAATAGTTATTGATCTTTGGGTATATATTCAGTTTTAAACATGAATCTCTACAAAGAGGTGCTTGACTAGGGCCTATGAATGGGATAGTTTTGCTGTAGGTTTATTGGTTGTGATCCTGGCCATTTTAGTAGATATATCCCTCAAATGTCAGCAATGTTAAGATATTTTTCTCTAGGTTTATCTACTTTCTCTAGAGTAGAACTTGCCAGTTTGCTGTCATCAAGGATATGTTTAGCTAATAGCTATCTTGAAGCTGAGGTGTAGGAATAAATTATACTATTTGATTTTTTTTCTTTAATCTTTCTTCCTTCTAGCATTTGTTCTATATTTTTGCCTTGCCTGATGTTTCCCAGTTTGGTATCTCTTTGTTTCATTTTCCTCAGAATGTAAATTTATTTTCTTTTTCCAGAAAAAGAGAGAAGTAGTTACCTAGCCAAACAAGTTATTGGAGGTGTAAGACCAGAGGGGATAGGAAAAGTAAACATCTAGGGTTTAGACACACCTTATATGGACTTTCAAATAATTTTTCTTATACTTCATTCTCTTGGCCTTACTTGTGTACCTTTCAGAAGTATCTGGTGCCCCTTATTTGTGAACCTATGTAGTTTCTATTGTTTCCTAAATTGCTCTTTCTCTGCTCTGCTAGATTGGCTGTCACTCATCCATCTGCTTTCCATTTTCCATAATTTTGTTGATTATTATTTTACCACATTAAATCTCCTCCAGTTGTCTTTATCCTGGAGGGTATATATAATTTTTAGTTATTTACTTTCATCTTAGTGGTGTTTAGAAAATGGAAATGAAGCTATATTCTTTTAATCTGTCTTATGTAGGTGGACCTTGAACTTATTTATTTATTTATTTAATGGATTTTGTTCATCTATATTTATTTGTAAAGAAAGCATCTGATTGGCAACTGTGTGAGGTCAGAGCCTTAGGAATAATGACTATGTCTCTGCCAAATTTCTGTGTCTTCATTTTTTACTGATTGCATCATGTAAATCTTATGTAAGTATCTAAAATAGTTACTGATAGAGGCCATTTTAACTTGCTGTGTCTTTCCAAATTCTACTTTATTGTTCAAAGCAAAACATTTGGGAGAATGTCATATGAAATCCGTTGTAAGAACATGAACATAAAGCAAACTTTTTTGCAAGGGAAAGATAATGGGTGGTAGGAAAGAAGCTCACTGTACATTCTAGAATTTATAGTAGATGCAAGTCAGTAAGTACTTGACAGGTAGGAAAGATAATAGCAGAAATAGAGCTGGGATAAAATCAACATAGCAAGTGCCCAAGAGAGAGATGAACAAGGAAGAGTAGAGAAATTTCAAAATGTAAACTGACTTAACCACTCTTTCTTGGATTTTTATTTTTATGTGATAAATTAGATTATTTCAAGAGTTGGAGCTGAATCTAATGTTAAATAATGGCAACAGGTGACTTAAAAAGAAGCTTACGGAACCTAGAACAAGTGCTTCGCTTGCTAAATTATCCTGAAGAAGTGGACTGTGTAGGGTAAGTTATAATATCAAACTTATTTGTATTATTTGGATAATAATTTAGAGGGAATACCTAAATAAAAACAAAGATTTTATCCTATTTAAATTTCCTTTGAAATATTTAAAATATTTGAGAAAGGACATTTTAGAAGTTTGTATATAAGTATTGATTAGTGAGAAATTCCAACCCAAGAGAATTAAGATACTATTTATATAAGTGCATTATACACTAGTATAAAGTATTATTTCTCTATAACTTTTAAATTTATAGAAATATGACAAACTGATTTTATTAGTTATAATCTACTACTCATTCAGTTGAATCATATTTCTTATTTTTTAATATATTCAAAATAACCAGAGAGCTTGCTGCTTTTTTTTGTAGAATATAGCAACATACGTTCTCCTTTATAAATGCCCATCTGATGTGATAATCATTATATTTTTTATATTTAATTTATCTGTTTTTTCATAGCACATATTCTTACCTATTATCATTGGTTGATTGATTGATTAAATATTTCTCCCAGTAGAATGGAAGCTGAAGTCTTGAGATTTTTGTTTTGTTCATTATAGAAACTCTACATTTAGAATTGTACCCGGCATATATTAGGAGTTGGTTAGTTGATAGACATTTATCGAGTGGAAGAGTATCAAGGGACAAGTCCAGGTTAGGTATATATTCAAGTAGTGGAATTAAACTAACGACTAAGTAGAATCCTCATAGGAGAATGGATATTCTAATTATACACTAGGGAGGACTAATCCCAAGAGAAGGCTGTAAGTAAAAAGGATAGTGAGAATAAGGAGAAAGTTTAATTACTATTACTTTGTAAGAAACAAAGGTATGAAACAAATGTAATCCATAGTTTTAGCAGTCATCTTGGCTTCTGAAAATAAGAAAATCTCAAATATCCAGAATTTGTAAAGACTTAACCAGTTTGAGTACACAGTTTTTTTTCTTATTATTTTTGAGCATCATTTTAAGACATTTTAGGTAGGAATAATTGAAAATATACCAATACTGCCTTTCCTATCCTCTACTATACAACAGACACTAGTATGGCAATATGTAAATCAATGGATGTGTAACTGATGTGATTCTGCAATCTGTATATGGGGTAAAAATGGGAGCTCATAACCCACTTGAATCAAATTGTGAAATATGATATATCAAGAACTATGTAATGTTTTGAACAGCCAACAATAAAAAATTAAAAAAAAAAAGAAAATATACCAATACTGACCTGTGTTCTTTCTACAGTAGTTTTAGTTAGCTTTTTATTGCTGTGACAAAAATACTTGACAAGAACAACTTAAAGGAGAAAAACTTAATTTTTGGCTCATGGTATTATAGCTCAGTGGTGGGCTGAATTCACTGTGCTTGGCGCAAGGCAAAGCAGATGATAGAAGGGTTCAACAGAGGAAAGCTGCTCAGCTCATAGAGGTGTTCGGGAAGCAGAGAGGAAGTGGCTAATGGGCCACAGGGAAGATGCACCCTTCCAGGCCATGCCCCCAGTGACTTACCTCCTGCAGCCATGCCCTACCTGCCTGTAATTAACCATCAGTTCATTCAAGCCTGGATGGACTGATTAGGTTACAGCTCTCACAGTCATTTCACTTCCAAACATACCTGCATGAACAGGGGAGCTTTTGGAGGACACCTCATATCCATAGCAACAGTGTTTAAACATTTAATTTTTTTTATTGAACCATGAGCATCATTAAGAACAATACTTCTTAGATTATTCCCAAACATGGTGATATTGGCAGGGTCTATTAAGGGAGGTAATGTTGCTTCTTCCACAGAGACTCAGATTGTTTCCTTCTCACAACCACACATATACAAATACACATATAACACTTCCCTACATAATTTGATTCTTTCTACCTTTTCTGTAAAATTTTAAAAAATTTTTCCTACCATGAACTGTTTTTTGTGTTGATATACTACTGATTTGTATTATCCTTTTTTTCCTTACTGTTTCTAATCTGCTAAGTCCTTAGAAGCTGAATAACCAAAGTCATTGAAATTAGCATAAGATGTGTTTAATGTAATCTTGGCTGTTATCTGTTCATAAAGTGAATAAAATGAACAGATTTGCTGTTCAACAGTATTTCTTTCATTTTATTTTTGGACTATATTTCAGATAGAGAAGGTTGCCAGAGCAATTTCCTCTTTGAGTAAAATATTGCTTTACTCAAAAAGAAATACAAAAGTGAAAAATCATGTGCTTTGTTGTGGGAAACTAATAAGGTATAGATTTCAACTGAGCAAAAAGTGGAATGTTGTAAACAGCTTACCTAATTATAGCGTATACTCTTTCTAGTCCTTTTTCCTTATTTGTAACTTATAATTCATAATATTTACTTTTGTAAGTTTGTGTAGAAAACAAATAAGGTAATGTAACAAGTGTTTGCAAAACCACCATGTGTTGTTGAGCACTGTGAAGTGTTAGAAAATGAAGTCAATCTGGTAAGACTAAGCTCTGGAAAATCAATAAATACTGCTGCCCCCAACCCACGAAGGCAGCTGAACTTAAGGTCAGTGGTGTGAATTCCCAGGTACACCAAATAAAACACAGATACACACTTTACCTTTAAACAAGCTTCAGGATGGCTTCTCCACTCTCAGCCTCAGGCTCCTCAAATAGGAGAGCAATAAAAAGTCATGCAAGGCTGGCGAGAGAGAGCAAGCACATTCAATAGTGGGCTTTTATTGCAGGGACCCTTATTCTTAGAAAGTTACATCCAGAAAAGTTCAGAAGGGGCAGGGTTACAAAGGACAGGTGAGTGTAATTTGATCCAAGGGGCCATGGAGCGACATGCCTGTGTCTGAAGACATGCCCTTAACTTCCTGGACCGGGGGCAATGTCCAGGTCACTACAAGATGTCAATGCCTCTCTGCTCCAGGATGGAAGACACAAATCATTCAGAGTGCCTCCCCACAAAATACTATAGTAAATAGACTGTTGGTGCTAAAGAGCTAAAGTAAGTTTTTAAGTAGATGAACCATGAATAACAGTGTTTCATGCTAGAGTGGTTTAGAATGAGAGATAGAATCTGGAGGGTCATGTACGACCTAATTGTATCATGGCTCTAGTTTTAAGTCACAAATTATTTACAAGATTTTTAATTCTACCTTGATCATTGAGCTTTCAGAATTATGCTCATTAAAATGTTTCCTTTTTTTCTTCTAACAGTTTGATAAAGGGAGACACAGCAGCTTCTTTGCCCATCATCAGCTATTCTCTTACTTCATACTCACCTTATGTAACAGAACTTCTGATGGAATCCAACGTAGAGCTGATAGCAAAGAATGACTTGCGCTTTATAGATACTGTCTATAAGGTATTTTGAGTTGATGATGAAACAATAATATTTTAGAAGTTATTAAATGATTTGAAAAAACTAATGTTTTAATAATAATTCCTTAGATGCTGTCACATGTCACTTAATGATGGGGATATTCTGAATAGTGTGTTGTTTGGTGATTTTGTCATTATGCAAACATCATAGAGTGTACTTACACAAACCTTGATGGTATGTCCTATTACATACCTAAGGTATATGTATAGGCTATTATTCCTAGGCTGTAAAGTTATACAACACATTACTGTACTAAGTGTTGTAGGCAGTTGTAATACAAAATAAAGATTTATATATCGAAACATATAAAAGGTATAGTAAAAATATTAGGCAATAGGAATTCTTCAACTCCATTTTGATCTTCTGGGACCACTGTCATATATGTGGTCCATCATTGACCAAAATGTTCTGCAGCCCTGGATTGTGTATGCAGCATATATAATTGACAAAATATTTCATACTCATTCATGACATTAAAAAGCATACCCTATGGAAATCAAAATGCAATTCAAGTTTGCTTTGTAACTGTGAATGTTTCCTACTCTGATAAATTATGGCAAATATAAACATTATTCACTGACTATCATTTGCCATTTTTCTATCAAATGTTAGTAAAATTTGATACACTGGCAGAAATTAGAGGTGAATGTAATTACATTCAGTAAAAATTTGTAGTTCATAAAATTATGAGTTAATGTAATTGTGCATAAGAACTGAAACTTTGAGGTAATTTGTTCTTTGAGGTCTAAGACCTTGTCTTATATTTATCTAACTAATATCTACATTTCTACTGTATGTATATTGAATTTAATTTTAAAAATATTTTTAATCATTTATTTTTTCTCAAGTATTGTTTTTTTAAAACTTTTTTTTTATGGTAAGGCCTATTTATTAGATCTTACCTTTAAAAAACAATAGAGTTGCATTTAATGGAATGGGAGCTTTTATATGTATTCTAACCCCAGAAAGCTCCTATAGAAGCGTAAATAGAATTTGTAAGAAATATTAGGATGTCACCTAGCAGAACTTTACAACTTTAGAACCACTGGTCTAGTCTGTTCACAAATGAGAAATTGAGATAAAAAAAAATATTGACTTGGGGCTGGGGTTGTGGCTCAGTGGTAGAGCGCCTGCCTAGCACGTGTGAGGCCCTGGCTTCGATCCTCAGCACCACATATAAATAAAATAAACATATTGTGTCTAACAACTAAAAAATAAATATTTTTAAAAAACATATTGACTTGTCTAAAAGTGTAATAGAATTATTAACAAATGGAACTATGGTTTTCTGACATCTAGTATGGTAGCATGGTATTTTAATGAACTAAGGAGATTTTCTAGTACGTACGAAGATTTTTGAACTTTTTGATGATTGACTATTTTTGCATCTCTCTGGCACATTCCTAGCTACCTGGTTGGTTGGTTGGTTTGTTGGTTTTGCTGTAATGGGGATTGAACCCAGGGATTCTAGGCAATACTAGGGCAAGGGTTCTGTCACTGAGCTACATTCCCCAGACCTCTAGCTGTCTGTTTTCTACATGGATGCCTCTCATGACTCACACCAGCTCTATAAATTTTTGTAATAGCATTCATTAATGACATCGTCTTTCTTGTCCTCTCGAAGATCGCTATCTCCTGACCTAGTAGCCATTTATCATTTTGGATTAAAGAAGAAAATGGTTCCATTACAGAATCTTTTTCCTCTTTGCAGCTTCTTCGTGATCAATTTAATTATAAACCAATTTTGACAAAAAAGCAATTTATTCAATGTGGGTTCGCAGAATGGAAAATCCAAATTACTTGTGATATTTTGAATTGTGTGATGAAGAAGCACAAGGAATTAAGTAGTCTTACCAAGGTAATTCTGTGAATAGATTTGGATGCTAACTTATGCTAAATGACCCAACATTTTAATGTATAAAATTAAGCCCCTATATAGCCAGTTGTTGCATAATACAGTTATTACATTATTCACAGATTTGGGTAATCTTATAAAGCTTTATGTTTACTTTAAATACTAGTCACTTATTTTTATACACCTGTAACTTGGAACTGCTAGTCCTAAACCAACAGTTCAAAGATAGTGCATTTTCATCACTTCTTAGTTTTTAAAAGACATGTAGTTTCTAGAGTCTCATTATTTTTAGATATATTTATATATGAATATTTATATGATAGTGAAATTAAGTATACATTATTCTTTCACAGAAAATTTGTAATCAATGCCTTTTTTTCTGGTATTGAACATTGAATCTAGGGGCCCTTTACCACTGAGCTATATTCCCAGATATTTTATTAAGACAGGTCTCACTAATTTGCTTAGGTTCTTGCTAAGTTGATGAGTTTGGCCTCAACTTTCAATCCTCCTGCTCTCAGTCTCCCAAGTCACTGAGATGAAAAATATGTGCCACCATGCCCAGCTGTAATTATGTCTAATATCATTTTGTTTCTAGACTCCATCACAACAAAGAAAGAAAAGCATTGCTGGTAAGTCAGAACCTTGTTCAAGCAATGAGAAAGCACTTTTAGAACCTGTCAGCATTGATGTCACGACTGGCAGGTTTCTGACTTCAGGAAAGGTATGAAAATATGAAAAAAAAACTTGTCATATAATTTAATAAAGAGTTATCTGTATGGTGAATATGACATACATGATTCACATCTCTGCCTGGCTCTGGTGAAACTTTTGAGTCAAATACTACAATATAGGAATGTTTATTTCATATACCAAATATTGTTTGGGAAACGTTCCTGAAGTTTTAAGAAGAGAATAGCAATGTAAAATCAAATAAGCCTTATGTTTCTATTTTCAAATTCTGCTTCATTTCCCAGATAAAATACTGGCAATTTAAAGTTACATTATGCAATTATCTACATCTACTCTTCATTATATGTATCTGTTCTTCCTAAAATGGGAACATATGAAGAGCCCACCATTAATTATAGTGGAGGTTATGATGATAAATTTACATACATTGATGGTTTTACAATTAAGAGTATTGATTATCTAATGATTGATAATCTCCTAATTTGGAATTGGGTTTTGGTTGTTTTAAATGTAGGTGTTTTTAATATTTTCTCTGTTTTGATATCAGTTTTTGACTACTTTTAGCACCTATGCCTAAGTGTATCCAGTATGTTTAGAAGTATAGTTTTTCTATCTCCAAGAGATATTTAAACCAAAGTATTATTTTTTAATTATATATGTACTTTCAGCTGTCTTCTATCTGGCAAAAACTTTCTGAGATTGAAGGATAGTATGCCAGATGAATAGGTTCTTACGCTATGTCAGTAAAGGAATTCTAAGAGGCGTGGATTCTGAATAACTGCCCATAGTTCTCATCCATACACATCTCTAAGTCTTCTAACTCTTGTTAGTTTTTTATGATTTTCTGACTGTTAAATGATTTATATCATATATCCTTCCCCAACTAGAACATGGGTAAACAGGGATTTATACCACTTTTTTTTTACTTTCACTGTGCTTTAGCATAGTATTGGGCATATTTAATAAGTACTTATTACTTTGATATTAAATATGATTTGATATAATTAAATGTACTTTTCAATTTATTTCAGTGTGTAGGTTGAAGGGTAATCTAAATTATCCTAACAAAGAAAAATGCAAAATTTCAATACACTAGACTTGTTTTTTATTGTCTTAGTTTTCTTCATTATCTATCAAAATTTAATGATTTGTGTCAGATCTTCAGTCTGACATAATTAATAATTAATCATCAGAAATTTGAATAAATATTAAAATTCTAAGATTTAGAAAAGTTAGAATCTTAAGTACATTTCTTTGTTTATGGGCAAAATATGAATCTGTATTAAAGCAAATTATCTCCTTCACAGCACTTTATACAGAATGCTATTCATGACTTTGTCACATATGTTAAGTTTGTATAGTGCATATGCAAACTGTGGAAAGTAAGTAGGCAAAAGAGCCCTATATAAATGCATTGTTGGACCTAGTTCTTGTCAGAATTTTCCCTTTGCCATTATTAGGATTTGATTGTTACCTGAAGGTGTAATATATTGTGACTTGTTAATTATACTTTTTAGTTTTAATAGTATAATTATCTATTAAAAACATGATTTTAACATGTGATCAATGTTTTAAAATTGAGCGATTTTTTTTTCTTTTCTTGTGATAAGTCTGAAATACCCTGTGTTCTGTGTTCTTCTAGCACATGTTGATTTAGACTAGCCATATTAGACTGTGGTTACTATGTTGAACATCACAGCTCTTTTAAAATAACATTTTATATTATGTAATACTTTAAACATTTATAAAAGTACCCATTACCTCATTTCAAAAATTTACCAATTCTTTGCTAATCTAGTTTCACTTTTATTGCAGTAACTCTTCCTGACATTTTCAAACAAATCTAAAGATCGTTAAATAAATATTTCAATTTTTTTCTAAAATAGAAATGTTTTAAAATAGAATGCTTTTAAAAATATGAACCACAGTTTCATGATCACACATAAAATATTGTAACAATAATATTTTATAGTATTTTGATACATTATATTATATATGGCGATTTAAGATTTTTTAAATCTTGAAAGGAAGATCAGGTATTCTTTTTGCAAAATGACCATGTGTTGTTTGAAATAACTATGGGAGTACAACCATTAAAGTATTTCTTACATATTTTTCTTATGCAGAAGAAAGCTGTGGTGATTCGCCACCTGTATAATGAAGATAATGTTGACATTCCTGAAGCTACAACAAGTTCAGTAGCAGATACTGATGAAGCATTTGATATGTTGGGCTTAAAGCCTTCTGAAATAAACATTCCTGAAGAAAACGTGCCTGAAATCAAGGATGAGCAAAAAGTAAGAATGTTAGACTTCTTTATCAAATGCCAGTATTTCTTTTGATAACCTTGACTGTTTCAGTATTTAAACTTTGCCATATTTCTAGCCTTTTGAATTCTTAATGATGGCATGTTACTCATGTTATCATTATGTAGTAATCAGTCATACTAAATATAATTAAACTGATATTATTTGTTGTTGTGTTTAGGACTTTGGACATATGTTCTGAGTAATGCAAAAAATAAGAAGACATGGTGTCAGGGGTGGAAGGGGAGAATGAAGTTCATTGGATTGGACAAAGGGGAATAAAGGGAATGGAGTGGGGATGGGACTAGGAAAGACAGTAGAATAAATGAGACATAAGTTTCCTATGTTCATATATGAATACATGACTAGTGTAATTCCATATCTGGTGTAGCCATAAGAATGGGAATTTATACTCCGTGTATGTATAGTATGTCAAATTATACTCTACTGTCATGTATATCTAAAAAGAACAAATAAAAAAAATTTAAAAATTTATAATCTAGTGAGATAAAATATAACACTTTGTGCAGTGGAGTTTGCCTACTACTTGTTTTCCTATATTGGTGATTGGAAAAGCTTGGCACTTCATTGTCTTTTCATTTTCCTCTCTGGATCCATGCTATTTTTTTTTTTTTTTTAGATTACCATTTCTGTTAGCCTTTATTGCCATGGACCCTGTTATGTATATGATCTCCACTGCTTTTGCTAAAATATCTGTTTCTATCCTTCATCTATGTCATACGATTTCTGTACATCTTAATATATAATTGGCATTTATAAAAAATACCAGATAGCCCTTTGACTTATTTCCTGTTATATGGCACAGTGAATAATCTCAATGCACTTAATGTCATTTTTGGTCATTTCCTCTTAGTTTTGTTTGTTAAAAGAAATTGTTAGTGGAAATTTTATAGTACCATCTGTATTATTTAAGGGCATTATGTAGATTCACTCACAGGAACCATGTTAATAGTTACTGTTGCTCTATTTTTTTAGGTGGGAATGGAGACGTCAGATCTCATATTTGAGATGAACTAACTTAAATGTTCAAGTAGTCTCCTTCCAGTGATAGTTCTTTTGACTCTTGCTGTACTGCCTCTCCTAACTATTGGAATAACATGGTGAAAATGGGAATACATTGACTTTAAAGGAATTTCAACTTATAAATTAATCTTTTTAATCATTTTAGGATGTAAAAGTTAACCTCGAGATTACTGCACTACAGACCATGCTTGCTGAATGCCAAGAAAAGCTTAATAAGTTGCCTTCCATAGAGAAAAGGTTAGACTGTTTGGAAGAAGCAATGAAAGGAAAAGTGATGGTAGATGAAACGACCTGGACTAATCTTCTGAGTCGTGTCACTCTTCTTGAAACAGAATTGCTTTTGTCCAAAAAGGTATTTTTCCTTAGCATGTCTAGAATATCTCAGATATAATAAAGCATTTTTTTATTGTTAGGTGTGTTTTCTATTGGAAATTTAAATATGAGAGTATTTAGGTAATGAGAAAATGTTTACTTAGAATGAAGTCCTGTCTAAATATAGCCTGTTTTATCTGTGGCTATTATTTTTCTCTTTATCAAGTAGGATAATCTGGAAAACCTGTAAATTGAGCTCTAAGTTGTTAAAAATACTTAAATTACTTAAAATGAGGTAAGAATATGTTTGATTTTGTTTATAAAAAATTTGAAATTAATCTCTTAATAGTACAATATTTGAAGAAGATGAAAAATCAACTCTTTTTTTACTTAATAACTTCTATTGTGAATTTCATAGAAATAACAACTGAACTTAACATTGTTGTATTGGAACTGAGAAATTTGTTTCTATTATTTAGAATTCAATTCTGTTTTGTTTTTTTCTTCATAGAAAATAAAGTTGGTAGATTCAAGAAGCTTAAATTTGCTTCTACATTTAAAAGATACTTCTAATGCCTACAAATACTTACATATTGCTTTGAAAATAAAATAATTTAAATTATTTAACATTGTTCTCTTTTAATATTTTATACATGGCAGTAAGAATATAAAATGAAAACATTTTTCTTTTCATTTTATTCTAAATGTTTATAACTATACTTTGCAGAATGAATATATAGACTTAAATGTAGTGAGTGAAGAATGTGCTTCTGGTAGTGATGTAGATCTTCAGACTCTTGGTAAGTCCCTAAATAGTATTATTATTGGTGGTATAACAAGGGATTTTCAGAAAAATAATTTTTATCGGTACTTGGTAATTTTAGTGTTCTCAAGCCTTGTTTTTTAAAGAAAACACAAAGCTTCCAGAAGAAAATAATGAACCTAAAAACTACTGAAACTAAGGATTGCTTGAGAAGCCAGTTTACATATCTCATGTAACATAGTTGGGTGAATAAATTCCAGTGTACATAGTTGCAAACCTTAGAGACATCTTGCTCTTTTTGTCACTCTAGATTAACAAAATAGACCTTTAGCGTTTTTAATTTTTAAACTTTTGTAGCATTCTTGAATGCAAATAATATATGTAAAAGAAGAAAACATTTGTCAATAATCTGTGAAGTATTGAAAACTTTTTGCATTTGAATAGTTCACTGATAGCAGTAAAAGAAGAAAGATCTAAAATTAGTGACAGCAGTGACAGATCTTTCCCATGTCTCTTGCCTTCACAAAGATATTATCAGGGTGACTGAGCTGCATGGAGCAGCTTGGATAAAGATTTCTGTTTTTCAGCAACAGCTTTTTTTTTTTTTTTGCTCTTTTTAAAATGTTTAAAAATGTGTTTTAATTAGTTTTACATTGCATCAACAGCAGTTTTGTTCTTTTGATTCTTCCATTGATCTTGAAAGACATGTTTTTATTTTGTGTCTATGATTAAATTGTATTTGTAGGAGAAATACTTTGTACAATTGAGAATTCATTGTGCAGTTAAATTTTAGTATATGTAAAGTTTAGTATATAGTATATAGTTTAGTATATAGTATAAAGTTTAGTATATAGTATAATCTTCAGCTATTATATATATATAATAATAACAACAGTACATTACAGTGGTAACTGTGTGCCTGGCACAATTCTACCTATTATATTAACTGATTTAATTCTCAAAATAACAACCCAAGATAAATACTATTATTACCGATATTTTATAGATTAAGAAACTGAGGTACAGTGAGATTGAGTAACCAAGGGTCACACAGTTATCGAATGATAGACAAATTTGAATGCATGCAATCATTTCTTTTCTCTTAACCACTACTTAATTAGTATACGTGCCAATTTCTTTTTCTTTCTTTAATTGCTTTTATTTTTTAAATACATGACAGTGGAATGCATCACACTTCTTATTACACATACAGAACACAATTTTTCATATCTCTGTTTGTATATAAAGTATGTTCACACCAATTCATGTCTTCATACATGTACTTTGGATAATTATGTCCATTACATTCCACCATCATTGCTAACCCCCTGCCCCCTGCCTTCCCCTCCCACCCCTCTGCCCTATCTAGAGTTCGTCTATTCCTCCCATGCTCTCTCTCCCTACCCCATTATGAGTCAGTCACCTTGTATCAGAGAAGACATTCGCCATTTGTTTTTTTGGGATTGGCTAACTTCACTTAGCATTATCTTCTCCAACACTATCCATTTACCTGCAAATGCTATGATTTTATTCTCTTTTTTTTGCTGAGTAATATTTCATTGTGTATATATGCCACATTTTTTAATCCATTCATCTACTGAAGGGCATTTAAGTTGGTTGTACAGTTCAGTTATTGTGAATTGTGCTGCTATAAACATTGATGTGGCTGTATCCCTGTAGAATACTGTTTTTAAGTCCTTTGGGTATAGACCCAGGAGAGGGATAGCTGGGTCAAATGGTGGTTCTATTTCAAGTTTTCCAAGGAATCTCCATACTGCTTTCCATATTGGCTGCACTAATTTGCAGTCCCACCAGCAATGTATGAGTGTGCCTTTTTCCCCACATCCTCGCCAACACTTATTTATTTTTTTTTAAAGAGGGAGAAGGAGAGACAGAGAGAGAGAGAGAGAGAGAGAGAATTTTAATATTTATTTTTTAGTTTTTGGCGGACACAACATCTTTGTTTGTATGTGGTGCTGAGGATTGAACCCGGGCCGCATGCATGCCAGGCGAGCGCGCTACCGCTTGAGCATATCCCCAGCCCTCGCCAACACTTATTGTTGTTTGTCTTGATAATAGCTACCATTCTGACTGGAGTGAGATGATTTCTTAAAGTAGTTTTGATTTGCATTTCTCTAATTGCTAGCGATGATGAACATTTTTTTTATATATTTATTGATTGATTGGATATCCTCTTCAGAGAAATATCTGTTCATGTCATTAGCCCATTTATTGATTGGGTTATTTGTTTTTATGGTGTTTAGCTTTTTGAGTTCTTTATATACCCTAGAGGTTAGTGCTCTGTCTGATGTGTGAGGGGTAAAAATTTGCTCCCAGGATGTAGGCTCTCTATTTACCTCACAGATTGTTTCTTTTGCTGAGAAGAAACATTTTAGTTTGAGTCCATCCCATTTATTGATTCTTGCTTTTAATTCTTGCACTATAGCAGTCTTAGTAAGGAAGTTGGGGCCTACTCCCACATGATGAAGATTAGGGCCTACTTTTTCTTCTTTAGACGGAGAGTCTCTGGTATAATCCCTATGTCCTTGATCCACTTTGAGTTGAGTTTTGTGCATGGTGAGAGATAGGGGTTTAATTTCATTTTGTTGCATATGGAGTTCCAATTTTCCCAGCACCATTTGTTGAAGAGGCTATCTTTTCTCCAATGCATGTTTTTGGCGCCTTTGTCCAATATAAGATAATTGTAATTTTGTGGGTTAGTCTCTGTCCTCTATTCTGTACCATTGGTCTACCAGTCTGTTTTGGTGCCAATACCATGTTGTTTTTGTTACTATTGCTTTGTAGTATAGTTTAAGGTCTGGTATAGTGATGCCACCTGCTTCACTCTTCCTGCTTAGGATTCCTTTAGCTATTCTGGGTCTCTTTATTTTTCCAGATGAATTTTTCCAGATGCTTTTTCTATTTCTCTGAGGAATGCCATTGGGATTTTGATCGGAATCGCATTAAATCTGTATAGTACTTTTGGTAGTATGGTCATTTTGATAATATTAATTCTGCCTATCTAAGAGCAAGGTAGATCTTTCCATCTTCTAAGGTTTTCTTTGATTTCTCTCCTTAGGGTTCTGTAGTTTTCATTGTATAGATCTTTCACCTCTTTCATTAAGTTGATTCTCAAGTTTTGTTTTGTTTTGTTTTTGAGGCTATTGTAAAAGGGTAGTTTTCCTCATTTCCCTCTCAGAGGATTTGTCACTGATATACAGAAATGCCTTTCATTTATGGATGTTGATTTTATAACCTTCTACTTTGCTGAATTCACTTACTAGTTCTAGAAGTTTTCTGGTGGAGCTTTTTGGGTCTTCTAGGTATAGAATCATATTGTCAGCAAATAGTACTAGTTTAAGTTTTTCTTTTCCTATACATATCCTTTTAATTTCTTTCGTCTGTCTAATTGCTCTGGCCAGTGTTTCAAGGACTATGTTAAATAGGAGTGGTGAAAGAGGGCATCCTTGTCTTGTTCCAGTTTTTAGAGGGAATGCTTTCAATTTTTCTCCATTTAGAATGAAGTTGGCCAGGGGCTTAGTTGAGACAGCCTTTACGATGTTGAGATATGTTCCTGTTATTCCTAGTTTTTCTAGTGTTTTGAACATGAAGGGGTGCTATATTTTGTCAAATGCTTTTTCTGCGTCTATTGAGATGATCATATGATTCTTATCTTTGAGTCTGTTGATGTGATGAATTACATTTATTGATTTCATTATGTTGAACCAACCTTGCATCCCTGGGATGAATCCCACTTGATCATGGTGCACAATATTTTTGTTATGTTTTGTATTCGATTTGCCAGAATTTTATTGAGAATTTTTGCATCTATGTTCATTAGAGATATTGGTCTAAAGTTTTCTTTCTTTGATGTGTCTTTGCCTGGTTTTGGAATAAGGGTGATATAGGCCTCATAGAATGAGTTTGGAAGTGTTACCTCTTTTTCTATTCCCTGAAATAAATTGAAGAGTATTAGTATTAGTACTTCTTTAAAGGTCTTGTAGAACTCGGCTGTGTATCCATCCACTCTTGGGCTTTTCTTGGTTGGTAGACTTTTGATGGCATCTGCTATTTCATTACTTGATATTGGTCTGTTTAAATTGTGTACATCTTCCTGATTCAATCTAGGCAAATCGTATGACTTAAGAAATTTGTCGATGCCTTCAATATCTTCTGTTTTGTTGGAATATAAGTTTACAAAATAATTTTTAATTACCTTGTGTATTTCTATAGTGTTTGTTGTGATATTACCTTTTTCATCATGTATGCTGGTAATTTGAGTTCTCTCTCTCTCCTTCTCTTTGTTAGCATAGCTAAGGGTCTGTCAATTTTATTTATTTTTTCAAAGAACCAACTTTTTGTTTTGTCAAGTTTTCAGTTGTTTCTTTTGTTTCGATTTCATTGATTTCAGCTCTAATTTTAATTATTTCTTGCCTTCTACTGCTTTTGATCTGTTCTTCTTTTTCTAGGACTTTGAGATGTAAAGTAGGGTCATTTATTTGTTGACTTTTTCTTCTTTTAAGGAATGAACTCCATGCAATGAGCGTTCATCTTAGAACTGCTTTTATGGTGTCCCAGAGATTTCGATATTTTGTGCCTATGTTCTCATTTACCTTTAAGAATTTTTTAATCTCCTCTTTGATGTCTTTTGCAATGCATTGTTCATTCAGTAGCATATTGTTTAGTGTCCAGGTGTTGGAGTGATTTCTATTTTTTATTTCATCATTGATTTCTAATTTCATTCCATTATGATCTGATAAAATGCTTGGTAGTATATCTACTTTTTTGTATTTGCTAAGAGTTTCTTTGTGGCATAATATATTGTCTGTTTTAGAGAAGGATCCATGTGCTGCTGAGAAGAAAGTGTATCTGCTTGATGCAGGTTGAAATATTCTGTATATGTCAGTTAAGTCTTAAGTTACTGATTGTATTATTGAGTTCTATAGTTTCTTTATTCAACTTTTGTTTGGAAGATCTATCCAGTGGTGAGAGAGGTGTGTTAAAGATTATTGTGTTGTGATCAATTTGACTCTTGAA